TTTTTTTTCTGTAATATATGTTTCTAGCACTTTTAATCTGGAAAAAAAAAACATTGAAACATGAAATGTCAATTTTTGAAAAATTCACCACAATTGAACTGTTACAAAATGTTAAAACATTCCCTGAGCGTTTCTTTTTTGCAACTTCAATATGTTTGTGTTGTACTTTCTTTTATTTTTATTCTTCCTTATTTTAACTTAATTAAACCCCTGACATTCTTTTTTTCATGATTTAAATCATTATTATATCAGATTTTTAAAATTCTTATTATTAAACGAATCTCTTAAAATGCTGATGCGTAACTATATTAATACTTTAAATATAAAATGAGTTTTTTTATAGTTTTTATTTATTTTTTGGTTGTTGCTGCAAATTCTTAATATACTGATAAACATATAGTATCCATTTATGTGTCTACGACAGTACATTGGATTCTTGAGGTAAATCGAGTAATATAAACATTGGATTCTTTTATATCAGAAATGAGAGAAGAACAAGATTCACATATTGTCCTGTTCACGAGGTCAGTGTCCATAGACAACAGCAATCAGAATTCTCAGTAATTGTCTGTCCATAAAATACAACCAATTATCATTTCAATACAAAATGCTATGACTAAGCAACCTAATCTCACAGGCAAATAAAAAAATGCCTTGAACTGATGAAACAAAATTATATTTATATATATGATTCAGACCACAAGGTGTGAATCACTACAAGCTAAACCAATATTATAAGGAAGATTTCAAGAGTTTAAATAACACTTATGGTAATAATACAAGGTAGAAAAACTCATAATTACAAGGGTAGGGGAAAAAGATGTAAGGAGACTCATGATGTCCCCAGAGGAGCTCTGTCATCTGGTCCAGCAAGCATGATCTGTCATTGTTTGCAGTTTCGATTTAGCAATGGTGGTCAAAAAGAGAGAAAGAGAGAAAAGATCAATTCTCAAATTCTAGCCAATGTGTTAAGTTTCAGAAGGACATACATTACAGTCAAATGCAAATCTCCTTGCAAGCATGATGACAGCATTCCTTTCTCGCTCTGATTCAAAAGCTAATACAAAAGAATGCCCTTGCTTTGGCTGCCAAAAAACTCCCTGTGCTGCTGCATTTCCACCTCCTCTAACACCACAAAGCTAAAGAAAACAAGATCAAAGTACTATGGTTAACCAAATTCTATTTATCATAAGTGACAAGAGCACAAGAACAAAATGCATTTTCATGAACACAGATAGAATCGAATAATTCAATGCACATGGTATATGTGTGTGTATATATCAGCACAGTGATTAACAATAATAGAGAATGAGTACAAGAAAGAGGTTGGAGCATTGATTTGCTTTTCACAATCAAAATATAAATGGTGTCAACAGTTCTAAATACCTGCATTGAACTTGAATAGTATTCTTTGGCAATTGTGGTCTTTCCTTTGCAGAGTTTTATTCTCATCTTTCCAACATGAAGCACATGAATAGATTCAGTTGAAGGTGAACCATTCATTTGAGTTACAACTACCTGAAAAAGTATTAAATGAAACATGTAATCTGACTAGATTTCACTTGTAAACTTTATTTTGAAATGAGAAGAACAAAGTACAAGATAATAACAGTTTGTCAAAACTAAAAATTTTGATTAAATGGCTAAGCAACAGCCATGAAACCATACACCTTTGAATAAAAAAACAGCTCAACTTAATAAGGCACACGCATGTAAACAAAAGTTAAAAGGAACAGAACAACATACGTTAAATTCAGTGTCATGTTTGCGTACAAGTGCCTCAACATAGGTTCCCAAACCAGCAGCTGCAGGAGAGTACAGAAGAAATTTAAGCTCAACATGACTGCACAGCAAAACGTGTCTCAACCCCTTAAAAAAATAGATAACAAAACTTTATATTTAAAATAGAAACATGCACAGAA